GCCACCATGCCCGGCTAATTTTTGTATTTTTAGTACAGATGGGGTTTCACCATCTCAGCCAGGCTGGGCTTGGACTCCTGACCTCAGGTGATCTGCCCGCCTCAGCCTTCAAAAGTGCCGAGATTACAGGTTTACAGGCGTGAGCCACCACACCCAGCTGAAAAGGTTATTCTGACCTCCATGGTTTATCTCAGTAACTGTCTGTAATGTTTATTTTATAAAGCCCCTAGGAGTTAGATGTGGCCCCCTATAAAAAGAAAAAAAAAAGAAAGCCCTTCTAAGATGCACCTAAAAATGTTAAACTTTTTTGGTATTACCTAAGAAATCAAAGTTTATTGTGCAAAATGTTAGAATAGCATTAAATAAAGCAAATTAAAATGCTCCATCACTCCATCACCCAGAAACAACCACTCTGATATTTTTGCTATACTATGTATTATTCCAGATTGTTTTCAAGGCATATACTTTGAGGACCTAATTTTGTTTTTAAAAACTTGCTAGCTGGGTGCGGTGGCTCACGCCTGTAATCCCAACACTTTGGGAGGCTGAGGCAGGTGGATCACCTGAGGTCAGGAGTTCAAGACCAGGCTGGCCAACATGGTAAAACCTCATCTCTACAAAAATACAAAATTAGCAGGTGTGGTGGTGGGTGACTGTAATCCTAGCTACTTGAGAGGCTGAGGCAGGAGGATCGCTTGAACCCAGGAGGTGGAGGTTGCAATGAGCTGAGATCATGCCACTGCACTCTATCCTGGGTGACAGAGCAAGACTCAGTCTCCAAAGGAAAAAAAAAAAAAAAAAAAGACTTACTTGGAGTTAAATAGATTAAATAAAAAATTATAAATGGACAGAAGGACTTGAATATAATATTTGATGGGCTGTGTAGGGGACTTCTGTTTATTCATTTTTAAATGATTCATCAATAGACTTTTTCTTCTGGGGTGGATCTTTCCATGGCTTCTCCAAAGCTGGTGACTTCCGATGCAGCTGCAGGGAAAATCAAAGATATTCTCCATGACCTAGAAGAAATTCAGGAAAAATTACGAGAAAACTTCTCCTGGAAAGAGGCTCCTGAAGCACAAACACAGGGTGAGCTGATCTTATTTATTGGAGGAGGATTAAATATGTAAGTTGGGGATAATGGCGAAGTGCTCCATGGCTTTGTTCTTTGGGGACAGGATCCCAGAGTCCAGCTATATTACCACTGTGATATTGGGAATCAGGTAGGGGTGGGCTGAGGTGTTTTTGTGGTTGAATATGTTTTTGGCGATGACTGAAGCTATGATGTATCACTTAATAGATAGAAACTCATTTTTGAAGATCCATGCACATACAGGCAGGCAAATCACCTGAGGTTCAAGGAGTTCAAGACCAGCCTGGTCAACATGGCAAAACCCCGTCTCTACTAAAAACACAAAAATTAGTCAGGTGTGGTGGCAGGTGCATGTAATCCCAGCTACTTGGGAGGCAGAGGCACAAGAATCACTTGAACCTGGGAGGTGGAGGTTGCAGGGAGCCAAGGTCATGCTATTGCACTCCAGCCTAGGCAACAAGAGTGAAACTCCATCTCAAAAAAAAAAAAAAAATAATTTCTTATGTAAGTGGAGAAGCATGATTCCTTGGAAAAAGTTTCTTAAGGAAAGCAATTAGAGAGCAGTTTATTAGTTGTTCCAAATATTTTCTGAGAAAAAAGCACCTTCTTATCCTGTGTGCTTCTAAACTTAGGTTGGATTCCTTAGTAATTTTATTTATTTATACAAATGTAAGACCAATTTTTAAATTTGGGCGGTTACATTTAAAATTTCTCATTCAAAAATCAAAACACGGCTGGGTACAGTGGCTCATGCCTGTAATCCTAACACTTTGGGAGGCTGAGGCGAGTGTATATCACCTGAGGTCGGATTTTGAGACCAGCCTGGCCAACATGGTGAAACCCCATCTTTACTAAAAATACAAAATATTAGCTGGGTGTGGTGGCACATGCCAGTAGTCCCAGCTACTCTGGAAGCTTAAGCAGAAGAATCGCTTGAACCTAGGAGGCGGAGGTTGCAGTGAGCCAAGGTTGCACCACTGCGCTCTAGCCTGGGCAACAAGAACGAAACGCTGTCTTAAAAAAAAAAAATTCAAAACAGTGTAAAAAGGACATACAGCCCAATCTCCCTCCAATCCTTGCCAATTGCCCTATTCTTTCATCTCAGTGCACCACTTTTATTAGTTTTTGGAGTGTCTGTTCAGAAGTTATTTATGCAAATATCAGCAAATATGAATTTATATTCTTATTTCTCCCAATTTTTTTTTTTTTTTTTTTGAGACGGAGTTTCGCTGCTGTTGCCCAGACTGGAGTGCAATGGCATGATCTCGGCTCACTGCAACCTCCGCCTCCTGGGTTCAAGTAATTCTCCTGCCTCAGCCTGATAAGTAGCTGGGACTACAGGCACACACCATCACGCCAAGCTAATTTTTGTATTTTTAGTAGAGATGGGGTTTCACCTTGTTGACCAGGATGGTCTCGAGCTCTTGACCTTGTGATCCACCCGCCTCGGTCTCCCAAAGTGCTGGGATTTCCCAATTTTTTTATACACAAAAGATAGCACATTAAATGCATTGTTCTGGAGTTTGCTTTTCTCTTTTACTTAATACATCTTCATTGTATAGATCAGTACTTAGGACATATTTTCTTTCCTTTTTTTTTAAATTACCTAGAGCATTTTCTCTTCTACAGCTGCTCAGTATTCCAGTGTCTGAGTATGCCAACACTTACTTACTCAATCCTCTACAGATGGATGCATGATTGTTTCCAATTGTTTACAATGACAAATAATGTTGAAGTCAATAACTGTGTATGTACATTGTGTCATATGGGTGCAGATATAATTTTAGCTTAAATTGCCAGTGAAGGTTGCTGGGTCATAGGGTAAATTCATTTGTCATTTTGATATACATTGCCAAATCACTCTGCAGTTGGGTTATACTAGTTTTATATATATATACTAGTTTTATCCCCAACCTGCCAATTGAGTGTGTTGTCAGACATTTGTCTTTTTTTTTTAAACCAATCTCATGGGTCAAAATATTGACTTGAAATTAGCCGGGCTTGGTGGCGAATGCCTGTAATCCCAGTTACTTGTAAGGTTGATGCAGGAGAATCGCTTGAACCCGGGAGGCAGAGGCTGCAGTGAGCCAAGACCGTGCCATTGCACTCCAGCTTGGGCAACAAGAATGAAACTCTGACTCAAAAAAAAAAAAAAGATGTGAACTTTTAATCAGAACTGCACTTTTAATTTGTGTTTTTCCATGACTTGTCTGTTCATATCTTGTGTTATTGGTCTTTTTAAAATTGACATTTAGGAACTCTTTGTAAATTAAAGAGATTAACCTTTTGTCTGTTATATGAATGGCAAATTTTGTTCCTTTATATCTCATTTATCTTTTTATTTATCTTTTATAGGTTTTATAATGTCATACAGACATTTTTAATTTTACTTTTTTTTTTTTTTTTTAGAAGGAGTTTGCTCTTGTCTCCCAGGCTGGAGTGCAATGGCATGATCTTGGCTCACTGCAACCTCTGTCTCCTGGGTTCACGTGATTTTCCTGCCTCAGCCTCTCAAATTGCTGGGATAACAGGCCTGCATCACCATAGCAGGCTAATTTTTGTATTCTTAGTAGAGACGGGGTTTTACCATGTTGGTTAGGCTGGTCTCGAACTCCTGACCTCAGGTGATCCATCTGCCTTGGCCTCCCAAAGTGCTGGGATTACAGGCATGAGCCACCACGCCTGGCCTTTACATAATTTTTTATAGAGATAAGATCTCACTGTTTTTCCCAGGCTGATCTCAAATTCTTAGGCTCAGGCAATCCTTCTGCCTCTGCCTGCCAAAGTGCTGGGATTACAGGTGTGAGCCACCATGCCTGGCCTCAATTTTTTTTTTTTTTTTTTTTTCCAGCTTTGACAGCGTGTGATTTAAGAACTGCTCTCCCATCTTAGCAATATCCCGGTGTGGCTGGAGCCACAGTCACTTCTTGGTCTTGGCCCAGAACTGTCGGTAGCGCTACACATCAAAGTCATCGCTAAGCTCCTGCTCGTAGTCCTTCGTCCGCTGGAGCTGAGCCTCACGCTTCCGCAGCCTGGCCCGGCGCTCCTCAGGGTCTTGTTCTATTGCCTAGACTGGTTGACTAGAGTGCCATGACAATTCCTAGGCTCTAAATGTTTCCTTTTTATTTTTATTTTTTGAGACAGTCTTCCTTTGTCACCCAGGCTGGAGTGCCATGATGCCATCATGGCTCATCCTAGCCTTGACCTCCCAGGCTCAAGTGATCCTCCCTCCTTAGCCTGCTGAGTAGCTGGGACTGCAGGCACGTGCCACCATACCTGGCTAATTTTTGTATTATTGTTAGATACCGCGTTTCACTATGTTGCCTAGGCTGGCCTAGAACTCCTGGGCTCAAACAATTAGGTCACCTGAAACAATTAGGTCACCTCAGCCTCTTGAGTAGGTGGGACTACAGGTGGCGCCACCACACTTTGTTAATTTTTTGTTTATTTTTTTGGGGAGAATAGGTCATGCTTCTATTTTCACATAATAAATTTCATCCAGTTTTTCTCTTAAGCATTGTAGATTTTAAGTTTTAGTTAGGAAACTCAACCACCTGAAGTTTAGAAAGGAATTTTCTGATGTATATGTGTGTGTTTGTATTTTTACAGTTTACATTTAAATCTTTGGTTTCATGTTTTACATTGAAACCTTTGACCCATTTCAAGTCTATCTCAGCATGTATCCTAATGCATTTTGTTTTATTTATTATTATTATTTTTTGAGATGGAGTCTTACTCTGTTGCCCAGGCTGGAGTGCAGTGACGTGATCTCAGCTCACCACAACCTCTGGCTCTTGGGTTCAAGTGACTCTCTTGCCTCAGCCTCCCAAGTAGCTGGGATTACAGGCTCCCACCATCACATTTGGCTAATTTTTGTATTTTTAGTAGAGATGGAGTTTCCCCATGTTGGCCAGGCTGGTCTCGAACTCCTGGCCTTAGGTGATCTGCCCGTCTTAGCCTCTCAAAGTGCTGGGATTACAGGTGTGAGCCACCACGCCTAGCCTGTAACTTTAATTTTTTAGGAACACGTCTTACTTTGTTGCCCAGACTAGAGTATAGTGGCACAACTACGGCTCACTATAACCTCAGTCCTCCTGCGTCAGCCGCCCCAGTAGGACTGTAGGCCCACACCACCATGCTCAGCTATTTAAATAATTGTTTTGTAAGGCTGGGTGTGGTGGCTCACGCTTGTAATCCCAGCAGTTTGGGAGGCCAAGGCAGGCAGATCACAAGGTCAGAAGTTGGAGATCAGCCTGACCAATATGGTGAAACCCCGTCTCTACTAAAAATACAAAAAGTAGCCAGTTGTGGTGGCACGTGCCTGTAGTCCCAGCTACTTGGGAGACTGAGGTGGGAGAATCAGAAGAATCACTTGAACCTGGGAAGCAGAGGTCATAGTGAGCTGAGATCGTGCCATTGCACTCCAGCCTGGGTGACAGAAAAAAAAATTGTTTTGTAAAGACAAGGTCTCAATATGTTGCCCAGGCTGGTCTGGAGCTCCTGGCCTTAAGTGATCCACCTACCTCAGCCTCCTAACTAGCTGGGACTATAAGCATGGGCTACCATGCCTTGCTTCATGTTGCAGAATTGAAACTCTATACCCATTAAGCAACAATTCCATATTCTCTCAACCCCCTCTCACCTGGCAACCACTATTCCACTTTCTGTTTCTATGAATTTGACTATTCTGTATATCTCATCTGAGTAGAATCATACAGTTTTTGTGTGAGAGGTTTATTTCACTTAGTATAATGTACTCCAAGTTCACCTATATTGTAGCATATATCAGAATTTGGTTTCTTTTGGGTGTTTTTTGGTTTGTTTCTTTGAGATGAAGCCTCGCTCTGTTGCCTAGGCTGGAGAGCAGTGGCACGATCCTGGCTCACTGCAACCTCTGCCTCCTGGGTTCAAGCGATTCTCCTGCCT